GCTCCCTTGAGTATTTTGTTACTCCTTCTAAGAAGCACTCACGCTTTGTTTTCCTTCTTCATGAGCTTCATTCATATGGTCTGTGAGTTGAATCTTGTGTATTGCGAGCTTCTGGGCTAATATTCAATTATCAGTGAGTGAATGCCATGCGTGCTCTTTTGTGATTGGGTTACCACACTCAGGATGATACTTTCTAGTTCTATCCATTTACCTAAGAATTTCTCGAATTCATTGTTTTTAATAGCTGAGTAGTACACCATTGAGTAAATGTACCACATTTTCTGTATTCATTCCTCTGTTGAAGGACATCTGTGTTCTTTCCAGCTTCTGGCTACTATAAATAAGGCTGCTATGAACATAGTTGAGCATATGTCCTTGTTATATGTTGGAGCATCTTCTGGGTATATGCCCAGGATGGGGGTATAGCTGGGTCCTCAGGTAATGCTATGTCCAATTTTCTGAGGAACCACTAGACTGATTTCCAGAGTGGTTGCACCATCTTGCAATCCTACCAACAATGGAGGAGTGTTCCTCTTTCTCCACATCCTTGCCAGCATCTAATATCACCTGAGTTTTTGATCTTGGCCATTCTGACTGGTGTGAGATGGAATCTCAGGGTTGTTTTGATTAGCGTTTCCCTGATGACTAAGGATATTGAACATTTCTTTAGGTGCTTCTCGGCCATTAGAGTTTCCTCAGTTGAGAATTCTTTGTTTAGCTCTGTACCCCATTTTTTTAATAGGGTTATTTGGTTGTCTGGAGTCTAATTTCTCGAATTCTTTGTATATATTGGATATTAGTCCTCTATCAGTTGTGGGATTGGTAAAGATCTTTTCCCAATCTGTTGGTTGCCGTTTTGTCCTATTGACAGTGTCCTTTGCCTTACAGAAACTTTGCAATTTTATGAGACCCTACTCATTTTCTAACATTCGCTTTCTCTTACACTCATCCTCATACCTTCAAACAGACCCTTGTCATGCTCATTTACACACTCCTCTCACCCATGTGCACAACCTTTCGTTTTCTTACACTCTCCATTGGTTACTTTTCCTTTGGCTGTGTTAAATAACCCTGACAAAAGCAACTTATGGGGAAAAGGGTTGATTTCAGCTCAAAGTTTGAAGGTTCAGCCCATCACGATGGAGAAGTAATAGCAGCAGGAATCAGGGGGGCTGGTCACTTTGCCTCCACAACCAGGAAACAGCAGGAGAAGGATGCTTTATTTAAATAGCTTTTCCCTTTTTAGTCAGTTTAGGACTCTGGCCTGTGGAATGATGCCACCACCTCAGTTAACCTAATTGAGATAATCTTTCACAGGCGTTCCCAGATGTTTGCCTCCTAGGTAATTGTCAAGTTATTAATGCTCACATATGCTTACTCTGGCATGCTGTGTTTTCATGCTAGGTGTTCTCTCTGCCTACTCACTTTTTCACATTCACTTTTTTTTTCTCTCAGGCTCATTCTCTCTTGTACACACTTTTCCTTTCTAACATTCTACTCTGTTGCCCTTAATTTGTTGTTTATGCATAAACTCATACATTTATTTCTTCATGTTCGTCCTCGTGCACAGACACACTTACATTCTGACCTTCCCTCCCTCACCTAATCCTAGTGCTTCAAACATCCCAGTAGCCCAGAATCTTTCTTATTGACAGCAAGTGGCTTGTACATTTATTACTGTATTTTGTGTTTTTATTTTGTAAGTTTTCATTTCCATTTTGTCTGTAGCATAATTCTGGTGGTAGGTGAAGTTATTTTTAGCTAAAGCTAGTCCCTGTTTTACCTGAGTATTTTAACAGGTCTTAACACACTAGCTAAAATTAGTTTCACTTTGACTTTTTGAACACCTGTCTTTGTCTCAGCCAAGTATTTAAGAGATCCAAAATGTCTCATAGCTACTTAGGTCCCTAATAAAATCTCATTATAATGCAGATCTCAAGTATGCATCATTACATTCTTAAATAATGACAGCATAAATAAATACTATTAAAAGGATTGTTAATTTTCAGATTGTTTAGGATAGAACTCTTCTACTTAATACTGTTAAGACTGTACTGAGATGGAGCTGGGGATGGATATGCTTAAAGAGACATTGTGCATATGTATGTATGACATTGTCAAAAAATAAATATTAAAAATAAATGAATAATGATTAAATTTAATACCTTTCCTCCAAAGACTGTCTTAAATAGGATAGTGACAAGCCAGGCAGTGGTGGCACACGCCTTTAATTCCAGCACTTGGGAGGCAGAGGCACTCAGATTTCTGAGTTCGGGCCATCCTGGTCTAAACCAATCCTCTCCTAGAGTCTGGATGACTTCCTTGACCCATAGCTCTCTGTACAGTGCTACCATAAATAGATATCAAGAACACATATAAGGTTCTTAGATTTGAACTTGAGTTAAAAGCACACATTTTACATTACATTGCTGGTCCATATATTTTTAGTTCCTGAAGTAGATTTGTGATCAACAGAAAGGACTTTTATAACTAAATCATAAAATTGTGTCATAAATGTCCTTTAATTTTATTTTAAAGGGTGTATTGTAATCTTTTATTAAATTTTTAGTTTTTTAAATATGTAATCTTGTCATATTCTTTCTCTGAACCCAAGTCTTCCCAGACCCCTCCACACCTTCCTACTCAAGTTTGTTTTTTCTGTCTCTTAAAGATAAAAAAGAAAGAAAACCAATAAAACAAAAAAGACAAAAGTGCCAAACAATAACAACAGCAACAAAAAAAGCAAACACAAAAACCTATGAAGTTCATTTTTGTGTTGATCAACTACTCATAATCATGAGGCCTGTTTTGGGACACTCCTTTGCCCCTCTCCCAGCAGGTGTCTATTGCAAATAGCTTCTTAATTAGGGCTGGGACTTTGTGCTCATTTCTTTTTTACTGTGCAGGGATTTTCGTCTGACTTGACCTTTTGCAGGTCTTCCCCATGCTGTCGTCTCTGTGAGCTCATATGTGCAGCAGTGCTTTTCTCTCTGGAAGATGCTGCTTCCCTGGAGTCATCCACCACCTCTGCTCTTACACCTTTTCTGCTTACTCTCTGCCGTAGATGTCCAACTTGTGAGGGAAGGGGTTTGATACAGACATCCTGTTTGAGACCTGTGTGAGACATCACTGTCTGCACATTGTCTAGTTGTGGGTTCTGTGTTAATTAACAACTTCTCCGCATAGTTATAGCAGTATGTCATTAGGAGTCCTTTTAGTGCTATGCTCATTTGGTAAAACAGTAGTAGGCTTTCTCCTAGGTTTCAAGTTCTTGGCTACCTTAACAGTATCAGGTGGAATTATATTTCAGGGAATGGACCTTAAATCCAGACAAAAAAGTGGTTGGTTCCTTTCATACTATTTTTGCCACTATTGCACCAATATGTCTTACAGGCAGGTTGCTGTAATAGGTGCATGGTTTGCAGCTGGATGAGACTGATGATTATTTTTCTCCTCTGGTGGCCCGTATAGTACCTCCCAGTAGTGTTGGAGTTTCTAGTTGAGCAGCAGCTCGAGTTCTCCATGTGCAAGGATGTAAATAAGTGATATCCTCAGGAATAGCGTCCTGCCTTCATGCTGTGGAGGGAGGGTAACCACATAATGTTCTTTTAAATCTGTGCCCTGTAGTTGTCCAGGTGTTTTGGGTTTTTTGTTTGTTTCTTTGTTTGTTTGATGGATTGATGGGGGGGGGGGAGGTTGGCTTGTTTTATTGTTTGTTTGTTTTTGTTTTTGTTTTGTTTTGTTTTGTTTTGATTGAGACCTAGTTTCTCTGTGTAGCCTTGACTGTCCTGGAACACACTCTAAAGACCAAGCTGACCTTGAATCAGAAATTCACCTGCCAAGTCTTTCTGTGTTTTATATGATGTTTTTCTCCTGCTGGAAAGCAATCATGAAGGATTTTTTGAAATGTATTATTTCTTCCCTTAGCTTTGCTCTGTAGAGTGAGACTGTACAATTTCACTTAATATGTCCTCTACAAGTAATAAACACTGAGTATTTTATTGTGCACAGTATCCATTTTGGTAGAGAAAATCAGTATTTACAACCAGTAGTTTTAACTGTTTATGTCTTCTTAGTAGTTTCCTACCTAAATATGTAAGAATTTCTGAGATGACTGTAAATATCTAATGAATAGACAGAACATATTCTATTCATAGGAATATGAAAGTAAAAAATTCAAAGTAAAGTACTGTTGTTCAACTACCAACTAGGGTAAGTTTTAATATCTGTTTTTGGTAACAACATGGAGAAGACATGTTTCTATCCAATACTTTTGCTGGTAATAGAAATGTAAGGAGTAATGTGGGAGATCACTAGGTATCGATACTGAAAATGAATGCCTTTGTCTTTTAGCACCATGTTCCACTTCAGAATTTTTGCTTTTCATGGTATTAGTGGGGAGTTTTCTTTTTGTACTATGGATCTTGGGGATTGAATCTAGATCATCAGGTTTGTGTGGCAAGCACGACTCACCCCCCCCCCCATTTTTGAATGTTAGGCTACATGTGCATATATAAATGTGTATATTCATGCTGGGCAAGATGGCATACATCTTTAATCCCAGCACTTGGGAGGCAGAGGCAGGCAGTCTCTGTGAGTCTAAGGCCAGCCTGGTTTTCATGAGTTCAAGTCAGCTGAGGGTACAAAGTGAGATTATGTCTCAAATAAACAAATAACAAGAACAAACTAACAAAACAAAGGATAATCACTGAATTGTTAACTTTGATAAAGGAGAAATTGAAGATATTCCAGGGACCTGTGCATAAGAAGAAGGGCAGACAAATTATTATATGTTTTTAGTAGGGAAAACTAGGGCATTATCATAAAACACGAACTGAGCAGGTTTTTGTGTGTAATGAAAGCAGTTCATCCTTGATGTACAACATGTTGGGAAAAGGTGCACAGTGCTTATCATACTTATTTCACAAACCTGTTTGGATTTGCTATGACACATGGAAACTGTTTTGATATTTAATATTTTTCTCGTTTTTAAAAAACAGCTTTTAGAGATTAACTGGACAGGATTGACTAATCTTCTGGACATCCCTGGACTGAAGTAAGTCTTGTTGGCCTGCATGTAGTTGCCACTGTGTTCTTTCCTAGCCATTGCTGCCTTTTGTCACCTTAATTCTTGAGAGAGTAGGCAAACATGGAACCTGGAAATGAAGTTTCTAACCACAGAAGTGGAAGCTCTTCTCTATTCTGGCTAATTGATCCTCTTCTCTGTAATTGTAAATGACATAATATGAGTTCTGTAAGTGGCAGTGTGGCCTAGAAGATGTGTCCTGTCCCCTCACAAGACTTCAGCCAATCCAAAACCATTTTATTTATTAAGGATCTCTACACAATCACTGTGGACACACTCATGAGAATATGCACATGTCATTTGGACACTTAACTAGTTTCATCTTACACAGTGACTTATAATGTAAGCAGTCTCTTTTCTTTTTTATTATTGATTAAATTATTTATTTATTTTATACCCTGTTTGTTGGGAGCCAGCCCCAGCTTGATGGGAGGAGAAGGCGATCTTCTTTCTTCTCCTCCTTGTCAGTTCTTGAGGCAGCTGAGAGGGATGGGAATTGGAAGAGCATCTGTCTAAGGGCAATTAACTGAGGACACTTGGGAGACTGGCAGAGTCCTCATTGCATTTTTGAGTATCAGAAAGGGACTTAATAGCAGTCCCACTATAAAAGAGCTTAATAGTCATTGATATAATTTTAGGAATTCTTATAGGATCATCATTAAGACTTAACAAGTCATCTATTTGTCTATATAGCATCACTACAAGAAGGTACATCTTCATGGGTCTACAGAGATCTGCTCCCAAGGGGTGTGCTATTGCTTAGTGATTGCTACATATGAATAATAATAATAATAATAATAATAATAATAATAGGAAAAGCATATTAATAGCAGGAATTTTTCCTAAAATCCATCCACCACAGCCTTGCTGGATGGGGCACACTTGTCGTAGATTATATAATACTCTGAGGCAAACGTTTCAGGATGATCACCTGCTAATTATTAGCTTATCCCATTATGGCTCCCGACACTCGTTCACAGTTTCCCCTCCCTCCTTTCCTCCTAGTCTCTCCCTTTCACTTCACCTCCCCCCATCCACCTCCGCTTCCCTTCTCCTCAGAAAAGGGCAGGCCTCCCATGGATATCAACCAGCCTTTGCATATCTGGTTGCAGTAAGATTAGGTGCATCTTCTTCTACTGTGGCTAGACAAGACAGCCTCTGTTAGGGGCAGGCAATGTAGTCAGAGACAGCCCCTGCTCCCACTTTAGGAGTCCCACATGAAGACCCAACTGTTACTTGTGTGCAGAGGGCCTAGGTCTGTCCCATGTATGCTTCTGCTTAGCAGTTCAGTCTCTGTGGGCCTGAGGTTAGTTGATTCTCTAGGTTTTCTTGTGTCCTTGACCCTTTTGGCTCCTTTAAGCCTTCCTCCCCCTCTTCCAAAAGCTCCATTTAGTGTTTGACTGTGGGTCTCTACGTAAGTTGTTGGGTAAAGAAGCCTCTCTGATGACATATATGCTAGGCTCCTCTCTGCATGTACAACAGAATATCATTAATTGGGTCAGGGCTGGGCTCCCTCTCTTGGCTAGTCATTGGTTTCCTGTACCTCAAAATTCCGCTCCATCTTTTACCCATGGACTTCTTGTAGGCAGGACAAATTACAGTTTTGTGGCTAGGTTGATGTCCCAGTCCTCCATTGGAAGTCTTGTCAGGTTACAGGAGATGGCTGGTTCAGGCTTCATATCCCCATTTGTAGGGGTCCTAGCTAGGGTCACCTTCATAGATTCATGGGAATTTCCATTGTCCTAGGTTTCTAGCTCATCCTGGAGAGTCCCCTCCCCCATCCAGTTGTCTCTCCCAGTACTCTCTCCCTCTGTCCTTCCCCCACCTCATCTCTCCTATTCCCATCTCCACCCCTCCCCCATCCAGTCCCCTCCTTCAGTCCACACCCCACATGTGTCATCTATTTCCCCTTCCAGTGAGATTCAAGCATTCTGCCTTGGGCCCTCCTTGTTACTTAGCTTCTTTGGGTCTGTGATTTGTAGCATGGTTATCCTGTACTAATACTCATAAAATAGTACATGACCATGTTTGTCTTTCTGGGTCTGGGTTAGCTCACTCAGAGTGATGTTTTCTAGTTCAGTCCATTTGCTGTAATCAGATTCTTTGCAGTAATATCTTCTAATTATTAATGTGTAAGTCTTATGCGTGTAGTATAAAGTATAGTATAGTATAGTATAGTATAGTATAGTTTATATAGAAGTATATCATTAAAATGTGAACTTCAAGGGCCTGGGAATACTTGAGTTGATAAATAAAGTGCTTGCTGTGCCTGAGGACCTTAGTTTGGTTTCTGACACCTATATAAAAAGCCAGGCGTAATCACATGTACTTACTTTCCTAGCACAGGGATGTGATGCAGGTGAATCACTGGAGCTTAATAGCCAGCTAGCTTATCCAACAACGTCAAACTCTAGGTCCCAATGAGTGGCCTTACCTTAGAAAACAAGATGGAAGACATCTGAAGACCGACATCGAAAGTTGACCTCTGTTCCCCACATGCAGGCACATACACATACAGAGATAAAGATGCACCGATTGTTACAAGTAAGGTATCAGTTGTATAATAGGGATTTATAAGAGTATCCTTTTCAAATAAGGATTATATTTAGATACACTATATAATTTATGTATAACTATATGCATTTATATAAAATATAGTAGTCTCTATGATATAAATATTATGTAATAAAATATAAAATTGAGACTACTAATCTTCAGACCAAGATTTTCTATTAAGCCAGATGGATATAGTAGTACATACCTGTTGGGAATCCCAGTGCTTCCAGAGGTAGGAAGATCAGAAGTTCAGTGCCATCCTGTTCTATACAGCAAGTTTGAGGTTCTCCTGCACTATGTGAAACACTATCTTAAAAAAGATTTTCTGTTGTATACATCAAGTATACAGTAAACCTTATGTTAAAAATATTCAAAAAAGATAAATACTTAATAATTGAGTCTAATCTTTACAGGCTTTATAAGATAGTATATACATTTTGTTCATGGGTTACAAAATGAATCTGAGTCATTACAGAATATGAATAATGTCTGAATCAGTTCACTGTGCAAGACATTTTTGTTGTCATGATGTAAATTCCTTGTTAGATTTCAATGAAGAGCTTATTCTACATAGAGAATGTGAAGGAGTGTAAGGGTCTGGCTCAGGAGAAGCAGAAGATGGTGTTACAAGCAAGAACATTGCTGAAAAGCAGACTTGGGAACCAGTGCCTTCAAGAAAAGTTGTGGATGCTTGAGTGCTGGGGAGGGGTCTGGGAGCAGCATCTACACCTGGTAATTGTGCAGAGTACTGTGAGGCTGCCTGGAGTATTGGACACAGTGACTGCTGGTTTCTAGGCATGGTACTGCCAGCTAAAGGCAAGTACTGTATTATCCCAGCAGTGAGGATATTACTCAGAACAGTTCAGTTAGGAAGGGATCTTCTGTTTCAGCAGCTATTTCAGTATAAATGAAACAGTTACTTTAAGAAGAAATGATGAAGGCAGAAAAGCACTGGTTTAAGGCTACATAGGATCCTATACCTCCTTCTAGAAGAGCAGGTGTACAGTACCTGCCAGCACAAGCCTTTCACATCTCTTCAGAAGTATTAACAGGATGGCCCACTGATAGGAAGAATGGTGCTGTGTGTAATAGAGTCCTTCTCTTTTATTAAACTGAAAGACTTGTGAAGAAAGGTCCATACCTTACTGTCACGCACGGGTCAGTTTTCCTTAAGTGATTATGATGACTGACAGGACACGTTTACATGCATAATCACATACATATGCTAGTGACTTAATACCAAAAGGTACTGGTAGTAATCATGGTTCTTTTTAAAATTCAGGGTTCTAGTAAAAGCTTTTTAGAGTAAGGAAGCTTGCATGGATATGTCTCCAAAAGTATTCTTATGTGTACACTGTTTAATTCTCATATCTCCCTTGAAAAACCACTGAAAGTAGATATAAAATGCTTTCCTATAGTTTTTGTTCATAATACTAAGTTTACTTTACAGTGATATAATAGTAGGATCAAAATTATTAAAGTACATAGAATTATGTATACAGAATGAAGAAAAATACAGCTAATTTATTTTACTTCATTGGAAGCAATATACAACACTAAGCATGAAATGGATTTGTGTTTACTGTATTTTTCTCTATACTTTTAATTATGTTTGCAATGTTTATGTTAAAAAATATATCTTAAGTCTGTGATGAAGCCATATAGGAATATTTGAAAGGAGCTAAAATTTTATGTTGCAAAAATAAAGCCTGCCTCATTGCAACAGCAGTATATCTGAAGCTGTACTGAAATATAGCTGAAATATATTGAAATATTAACTCTAAGTACTATCCTGGGAGAGTTAAAGAGCTTCCACCCTGAACGTGGCTATAGGATCTAAGTTGTGTGTGTTTGTTGTTAAAGGTGACAGCAAGCATAAATAATTTGTGTATCTGATTGTTTGTTCTTTATCTCCCAACTAATAGTGGTTTATCTGATACTATCATTTTGGATATAATATCAAACTATCTAGTGCTTCCCAATCGAATCACCGTTCCTCTTGTCAGTGAAGTTCAAATAGCTCAGTTGCGGTTTCCCATACCAAAGGTAAGCATGCATTTGTATCCCCTAGTGTTTAAAACATTCTAGGACCTTGCCAAGCACAGGGTGTTACCTTTAGACTTAACTTGTCTTTCTGAGCAGCTCTCTTGCCACTTGTGTTAATACATTGCTAGCTGCCATGCACTCCCCAGAGATATTCTAGGGAGATACTCTCTGACCCGAAAGCAGTTCAGAGACTTGAGGAGTCTTATGCTTCAGGCAGGTTCCTTCAGGGTACCAGTAGGACTCATTCTACAAATGTAATCAAAAGCCATAAGAAGAGCAATAACAACAGGTAAAAGTCATCTCAGAAGGTATATGCTGTATTTGTCTTCTGTGGTGATATACTCTTTCTCAGCAATAAGTGACATAATTCTGCTGATACATTTAAAATTCTGATATGATCATGAGTGTAAATTTTTTCTCAAACATTGGAATGGACTATCTCTGTAATTACTTCATATATAGATATATATAAACTTCATCAGTGAAGTTAGCCTTGCTGTGAAGTGATACCATGGCCACAACAACTCCTACAAAGGAAAGCTTTTACTTAGGGCTTGCTTACAGGTTCAGAAGTTTAGTTCATTATCAGCATGGCAGGAAAGCATGATGGAATGGAGGCAGACATGCTACTGAAGAGAGAGCTGAGAGTACACCTGGATCTGCAGGCCGCAGGATGTGAGAATAACACTGGCCCTGGCTTGAACATCTGAACCCCCAGTGACCATTTTCTCCAAGAAGGTCACATCTCTTAATCCTTTCAAATATTGCCACTCCCTAAACATTTAAATGTATGAACCTATGGAGGCCATTCTTATTCACACCACCAGTGAGAGAAGAGCCCTTGCATAACAGTTGTACTAAAAAAAAAAAAAAGGAAGAACAGAGCTCTTAGACGTGAAGGTACTACTGGGCATGTGACTGGATATATTTCAGCTCCTATAAAATGTGGAGCATAGAATTAGGCCACATGTCTATGGAGTCACCTTGAGTAAACAGAACAGCTGCAGAAGAAGGTGAAGTATTGCTCTCGTAATTAGAGAGCAGGTCTAAGTGTCAGCCAGTTGTTGTGAATACACCAATCTCAAGGAAGTAGTATTACCACGGCTTGTCTACAAGAAGGAGTAGTGCTGGTACATACTATAGTTTTTAGGTTTACTAAAACAGGAGAAGGTAAGCTGGTGCCGTTTCAGTGGCTATGTAGTTTTCATTTTTATTTCCTGAAGTAGAAATAGCATTGCCTTGATGCCCTCTACTTTTTTCATTTAGATTTCAACAATACATAGTGGACAACACACATGAGCATGCATGCATATAGGTGCGTGCGTGCACAGGCGTACACACACATACACACACACACTAAGCACGTATATCAATCCTTCTTTCTGTCTCACTTTGATGCTGAGGCTCAAACCCAAGACTCATGTTCTCAGCCTGCTCCTTACATTTTTATTTTTAAAGAAAGCATACCCCATTTAATTTGATGATAAAATTATATTGTAGACATTCAACAGATGTGATAACATTACATATAAGAAAAGGAACTCTGTCTTAAAAATATAAAACTTTGTTTTGTGCATTAAGTACAATAAACACTGGAGCTGGCCTAGATCTTAACAATCTTTTTTCTCTGAATTTAATGTGAGTCTTGTGGAAAGATATGACCATATCATCTCAGCTGTAGCCATATGTAGCCACAGGCAAGAATCTTTTAGTGCTTTCTAAAGTGTGTTCATCTACAGAGAAGCTTGTCTTATCCTGAGAAGCCAGGAAGATTAGCCTGTAATTTATTTTTCAAGCATTTGGAGGAAGAATATTACCCTACCAAACTATTTGTCATAAAAGAATAAAGAGTAAATATTTTTCTCTTACAAATAAAACAACTTTGGGGAAGAACAATTTAATTTTGATGAGCACTACTTACTTCAAAGTTTCCATTTCTTCCTTTATAAAGTAGGCTTAATAACAGTATTTCATAGAATTGCTCTAAAATTTGAATGGCATGGTTGCTGAATAAGAAATGCGTAGTAGCAGGTCTGATAATCCTTTCATGTTACTTATTACCTACTTAGTCTCAGAATGTAATAATTTTTGGTGAGCCTTGTGGCCATGTGTTAGAGCTTCTAGGGAATAAGCATGCTGCCCCACTAGAACTTCTGCAGTCACTGTTCCCTCTGCCAAGAAGACTTAAGGCTCTCACTGCATTTCTGTGGAGGAATCCTTGCTGCTAATCAATAGTCTTACCATCTAGTGGGATGACATAATAATGTCCTCCTGTTTTAATTCTTGTTTTCTAAGTACGTGTCACAGCTGAGCAGTCACAGTCTCTGCTGAGGTATATACTTTATGTCTTCCATTCTGCATGACAAATGATTAGTGGTTTGTTCTTCTCTTCAGGGTGTTCTAAGGATTCATTTTATTGAAGCTCAAGATCTTCAGGGAAAAGACACCTACCTTAAAGGCCTTGTTAAGGGAAAATCAGATCCCTATGGAATTATCCGTGTGGGCAACCAAATCTTCCAGAGCAAGGTCATCAAAGAGAACCTTAGTCCAAAGTGGAATGAAGTATATGAGGTAAGCAGTGGTGTCAAGGCGTGGTAACTGAGAGAGGGCACGAACAGTCTCATTCCAGACCTGTTGCACAAAAGTGTGGCTGACTTGGACTATTGTTGAAGGTTTTTTAACTTCTCATTTTTGAGAAATTTTGTACTTTCTCTCCTACCACAAAACAGTCTTGTAATGTGAGCACATGATAGTTTTAAGCAGTAGTTATGTAAGGCTATCACAATGATTCATGGCAATATTTTATATTTTTAAATATAAATAGTCTTTTCTGATTATAAAATATTATATTTGGTTAAAGCACATTAACATAGAAATACACTGTTTATACATTTTCATTTAATATATCTGGACATCTTTACATCTCAGTGGATAGCTAATGGTCATTATTGTTTTTGTTACATTTAGTTTCCTTTTTCATTGTTTTATTTTGTTTTCTCTCTCTTTTTTTTAACATTTTATTTTCTTCCCTTGAGATGGTGTTTGTTTATTTACTTATATCTTGGGTTGGCCTGTAACTCCTGATCCTTCTGCTTCAGCTTCCCAAGCACTTACAGGTGTTCATTGCCACACCCAGCTAGGATCTACTTGACTTTAGTAGTATTCCATTGAATTTCTTGACCTGGGCAGGCCTGGGCTACTATGTGCAGTACTATAGGTAGTGCTCCTTAAGGATAATGTCATACGTATAAATTGCTGGATCCAAAATTAGAGGTTGTCAGAGGACAGAATTATTGTTGAGAGCAGTTCTGCCCCTTTCCTGCTACCCTCAGTCCTCTGTCACCTGGCAGTTCCTATTCTCTGAGTGGCTAAGTGGTTTTCAAGATTAACATCTGAATGGAGCCAGTTCAGAGTTTAAGACCATTTCCTGAATCTTCATTTGGCTTAGACTTTAGATCTTATGTATGGGTGACTTCACACTGCCACCTGCCTAGTTTCAGGGGCTTGTGCTTGGGCCACTGACATAGAATTCAGATAACTAGAAACAGGCCCAGCAGACTTGCTCTGTGGGCAAATATTTTAAATGGCCTAGTCATCAAGAAGTATGTGTGTTCTGACAGTAAGAAAGTATATACTTTTAAAACTGCTTACTTAAGAGAAAAGTACATGGTAATATTTGTTATAATCATCATACTTAGTATTTGATTGTGATAGTAAAACTGCCTAACTACTAACCGTTCATTTTCAGGCTTTAGTCTATGAACACCCTGGACAAGAATTGGAGATTGAACTCTTTGATGAAGATCCAGACAAGGATGACTTCTTAGGAAGGTGAAGAAAGAGCTTGGGAACACCCTTCTAACCACTCTCCTTGGTTCAAGCTTTAAGACTCATTTATTTACATATATACATCTTAAATGCCTTTTACATAGGATGTGTATTTTGCCACATATTTTTAAAAATGTTTTACTTCTAGAAACACTCTGTTGTCCATCTCAGTGACACTGAGGTTCATTTTACCAGTCAGTCAGATTATGCAAGCTGGAGAGCCAGTGAATGCAGAGCCCCCTCACCCCCAGCCCCTCTTTGTGCAGGGATGTCTGAAACTACTTGTAAATGTGGGTTTAACTTTAAGCTTTTCAGTTAGCTAGGGTACAGTCACTTACATGGTACCCACATATTGGGATGGTAAATAATGGTTTGTTTACTTCAGTTGAAATACTAATATATCTGGGAAAATTGGCTTTAAAAATACATTCCTGACTGACAGGTGGCTAAGTGGTTAAGAATGTGTTCTGCTCTTCCTCAGTACCTAACATCTGTGTCAGATGGCTCACAGCTACCTGAAACTCCAGCTCCTCTAGCCTCTGTGGGCACCTCCACACATCTGGTTTTTACACACACATAAATGCATATTAAAATAGCACAAATAAATATTAAAGAACATGTTTCCAGGACTGAGAAGATAGCTCAGTTTGAATGGTTCTTATGATTCATGCCGGTAGCAAAATTGCAGTTCTGAAGATAGTTACAAGCATCATTCTGTACTCTGCATTACTGTGCACTCTTTACTCAGCTCTGCCATAGTGCTGCCATGCATCACAGTGTATCCACAATACGGTCAGTTTGTTGTTTTGTGCTTTCTACAGCTTGTGAGAGATGGCTCAGTGGTTAAGAATACTTGCTGCTCTTCCCAAGTTCAGTTCTTAGCACCCATGTCAGATGGCTCATGGCTGTCTGTTATATTAGTTCTTCAACTGGAATAAACAAATTGGTATTTACTGTCCCAGTACATGGGTACATCTCAGGCCTCGGCATAGGTGGTAAAATAAATGTCATACAGCAATGAAAATAATTTTATGGTAGGGGTCACCACAACATGAAGAACTGTATTAAAGGTCAGCATTAGGAAGGCTGAGAACCATTGGCTTAGTGGTTGGAATGCTTTCGTTGAAAGCACAAGAAACCATACCCCCTTCCCCCCCTCCAAAAAAAAAGGAGACTGGAGAGATGGCTCAATGCTTAAGAGCACTGACTGTTCTTCCAGAGGTCCTGAGTTCAATTCCTGACACCCACATGGTGGCTAACAACCATCTGTAATGAGATCCAATGCCCTCTTCTGGTGTGTCTGAAGACAGCTGCAGTATACTCATAAATAAAATAAATCTTAAAAAAAAAAAAAAAAGTTGGGCATAGTGACACATGCTAGTACTCCCTGGGGATTACACTGGGGAAGCAAAGACAGGTATATCCCTGGGGCTAATCAGGGCCAACTAAAGTACTTGGTAAGTTCTATTCCAGGTCAGTGAGATGCCGTGTTTCAAGAAAACAAAAACTGTACCTAAAAGAAAATAAAGAAAAAAAATGGCGTCCACAGCTGTGTATTTCCATCTGTACACATAATGAACGAATATGCATACACACATCTAATACATGTTTATCTGATGAAGTTATTTAAATGAGTTTCTTGTGGAGGGAGATGGTGAATGATTAGGTTACATTACCAAGGATTATGCCTCAAGTATGGTCTTGTGTGTTATGCTCTGACCTCAGAATCTCTAAGACCCATGGATTGTGCTGTGATTTCAGAATCTGTGAATGCATAAAAAGCTTAAGTAGGCGCAGGAACATGGTCCAATTAAATATGTATGTAATCCTATAGATGCAAGGCTAGTAAAACTAGAATCATGCTGTCACTGACTAGGGCTACGACTGGACTGATCCACCTGAAACCTAGATTGTAAGGGAGAAAGGAGATATGTTCAAAAGTACAAGTAGACTAATCCCTTCATCATCATCCTGGCTCCAGTGAGGTAGTGCCATGGTTGAGTTAGAGGAGGATTGTTAGGTGGTCATAGAACCTACTCTTATACCAGCTAAGGGACTTGATAAAGTGTGGACTTACACTTCATTATGCAAATAACTGTGTCCACAGTGATGACTGATAGCACTAAAGGATAATATGTAAAAACTCATCAGCTAGTCAAGCATGGTGGTGCACACTTTTAATCTCAGTACTTGGGAATCAGAGGCAGGCAGGTCTCTTGAGTTAAAAGCCAGCCTCATCTACATAGTGAGACCCTGTCTAAGAAACAGAAAATCATCTGTGGCTGGGGAGATCAGTGCATGAAGAACTTGCCACGTAAACATGAGAATCTAAGTTCAGACCAGAACCCACTGCCAGAAGAACAGTGCAGCTGCCTGTAATTCTAGCAGTTGGAAGGCAGAGGCTAAGCATGGCCACAACACTCCTACTATCTAAACTAGTCATATCAGGCTCTGGGTTCAATCAGAAGACTGCTGTAGTAAGATGAGGAGTGTTTGTGGAGGACTCCTGATGTTTGTCTGAGGCCTCCATGAACATGAACACTGTCAGTTCCTGATGTTAGTCATAGGCCTCCATGTGCATACACACATGAGCCCTGGCAGTTCTAGCCTAGTGTATGTGTTTAATATTTTGACACAAAAATTTTACCCTGTTATGTCTTGATTTTCTTGGACATAAGTTGTAGGAAGCATTGAGAAAGGTTTCCTGGTACATTGTATACTTTGTTTTTATTTTTGTTTTGCTTTCTTTTGCTTTTTGCATTTCTAGAGTTCTTTTTCATAGACAATGCTCAACTTCTTCAGTTGGAAGAAGTGCATTTCTATGTTCTAAAATTTTGTGTTGTTTTATTCTTATAGTCTTATGATTGATCTTATTGAAGTTGAAAAGGAGCGCCTTTTAGATGAAGTAAGTTTACTCTGAGTTTGGTCCACTTAATGAACACTGTAAGTACCTCCTGTGTGCCAGAGTCACTGTGATCCACTGCTTTTGTCTGCCTGCCCGCTGAGAAGTTTACTGTGATCTACTACTTTTGCCTGCCCGCCCACTGTGAGAAGTTTAGCTTCTACTCTAAGAATAGTATTCGCTTCACAAATGTTTGAGATGTAAGAATGTAGCTCAGCAAAAGTGTGCTTGTTTAGCACGTGCAAAGCCCTGGGTAGAAAGTGTGGGTGAGCACAAAATGTAAACCTGACTTTTATTGTGGACAGACTATGATGCCTTGGAGGAATTAGGGCAAATATGTGTTAAAAAGTGTACAGTTGGAGATTTTTGCTGTAGTTGAAGTGAATAGCAGAGATGCACAGAGCTGTCAGAATGTAAAAGACACCTGTAAATGCACTCATAATTTGCAGCAGAAAGATATTAGTTCAAGCAGGGAGAGTGATCCATAATGCCATAAAAATAAGAAAAGACATAAAGGAAAACTGCACAATAGCTTCTGAAAGATTAAAAGATGGGTGAGACTTGGGCAAGTGCAGCCTAATCAGCTAAGCCAGTGTTGAGACCCCTCTGCATTCACAGCAGTGCCCTTTCCCTGAGTGCTTCAGTCCATTGCTCAGTGTTTCTTGTACATCTGTTGGGTGCACAGCAGTGAGCAGGAGAGACTGAATCCTACCTGTAGCACTCCTTTTAAACATTGAATGTTTGGTGGTCTTTGTTTAACTGCTTTTAAGCTGAAACCACTATGCAACGTTTTATCAGTTGATATATAGCAATGAAAAAACAAGTATCTGAACTTGATTCTGCTATTGCAGTGTTTGGGATTCGTGTTATACTCTGTTGACCTCTAAATTCTGTGTGAGTCCATATACATGGACATAAGCCTTTTTAGTGATAGACAGTACTGGCGCACTTGAACCTTTATGTAATGATAATTCTGCTTACATCTTAAGGACTTCGTTGGGCATAGGGGTCTTTGAGTACGGTGTCTGCCAACCCTGGCCCTTGGAGCATGAGACATAAAATGGCATTTGCGCTCCTTCAGGGCCAGTTAAGAACTGTTGGTGCCACAAGGGCAGTGAGTAACTTGCAACTTTAACCAGAATATTTTATTCAGAAACACCTTTGCTGAACCTAAACACTTTGTCTGCAGTGGTTCACTCTGGACGAAGTTCCCAAAGGAAAGCTGCATTTGAAGTTAGAGTGGCTCACACTGATGCCTGATGCCGCAAACCTTGACAAGGTGCTGTGCAGTGTCCTCTCTTCATAACCACCTACTCCTGACTATTAGGACCATTCTCTTTGTGTTGGTACTTATTTTTAAAAAATTTGTATTAGTAATTTTGATTATTGTGCCATAAGTCACTACAGTGGTAAACAGGAATAAAAGTATAGAAAATACAATTTTTATAGGTCATTATTCCTGTTCTGAGACCTTTAAATTTTGTGCTTGCAGTAGCACAGGGATTTGACAGCCTGTATGTCATCTTAGTGCTTCATTTTAATTGGTTTGTATGAATAATAGTCTTGTCATCTGGCAGACATTGGCTCAGTTCTTGTTTTGCTGCATATATTAGGCTGTTTGTTACTGTATCTTCTTGGGCACAGTCTAACGAAGATAGTGTGCACTCTTGTAGACACACGCTCACTGAGACTTTTCTCTCATTTTGTAGGTGCTGGCAGACATCAGAGCTGACAAGGATCAAGCCAATGATGGCCTTTCATCTGCACTGCTGATCTTGTATTTAGATTCTGCAAGAAACCTTCCGGTAGGTAATACAGAGCTAACTCCTGAGTGTGTTCCTTTCTTGGAAACTATTGCTTTGTCCAGCTATAATATATTACCTAATCTTGTGTGGCAGCAATAGAGAGAGGGGCATAGGTAGTATTTGCTTTGCATATGTGTATTTATATCTAATTATTACAGCCTAGTTGTCTCAAGGTAAAAAATCCTCCTCTTAAAAAGAGGAATAAAAGAAGCAGCTCTGATCACACACCTTAAGTGTGTTTTAGATATAGCACAGTGGAGAGTGAGCTGCTGAGCTGACTACACTCAGGGCTGAAGGGGAACATTATTAATGCCACCTGGGATACTTCCAACTGAACAAGGCACAGTGTCAAATAATAGTGTTTAGCTTAAAAGCATTTGTTTATATCAGATTGCTTTGGTTTAGGAGGGGAAAACTATAAAATAAAAAGTAATTTGAACATGTTAGGGTAGTGAATTTGTTTCACTATCCTGCTGTAAACCCCACTAGCTAAAGAAAGTAATGTTGTCCTCATTATAAATGCTACATTATTGGGTAACTTAGGTGCCAGTGTGCTTGCATATGAGGGCATTCTGTGTGTCATTGTGTCAACAGCCAGTTTTATTGAAAGAAAAAAACACTGTCATCAGTTACTCTTCCTTTATAGTAAATGCTCAGTCATATAAGTGCATTTGTGAACAGACTCTAAACAAAAGCAAACAAGCACTTTGCTTATCTTGTCTAACAATCTTTTGGGGACTTTTATCCTGATAGCTTATGAAATTGCATCATTTTTAACACCTTTTAGTTTTTGAAAATTTTATGTCTATTTGAGCTTTGTGAACAAAAAATGAAATCAATATTCTTTGTGCATTAGTACATTTTATTTCAACTTAGCAACTGAAATATGATTATTTTGTATTAGGAATATATAGTTATCATTTTGCTAATACCATACCCTTTCTTTCAATGAAGTTTCCTTGTCTAACTTTTAGCTATTTAAATTCCTACATTTTTTTGTTAAATAGTATAATCTTTCAACCAGTCTTTCTACTAAAGTCTATGACTGTACCTATTTTTATTTCAGTTTGGGAATATCTACTTTATTATTATTTAGCCTTTCTGTAGAATTCCTAGCAGAGTAGAGCTTTCTGCTTTTGACCACAACAATGTTTGATGTGAAATGTTGCAGTATTTTATAATGCCTGAGGGAAGTTTGTCAGGCTGGCAAGATGGCTCAGTGTGTAAAAGGCACTTACTTCCAAACCTGGCCACCTGTGTTCAATTCTCAAAACACACATGAGTGGAGAAAAGAACTGACTCCTTTGGGTTGTCCTCTGACCTCCACATGAATGCATAGCAAGCCCCTCACCCCAACTAAATACATGTAAAAAATGTTTTAAAAGAAATGAAGTTATTACACAGTTTAGGATATAGAAAATAGTGATGGTTACAGTTGAAAAAAAGAGACTGGGCTTTTCAGTAAAGTCATGTGTTTTGTCACTTCAATTTGAAGTGCAGATAATGTCACATGAGCTCAAGTGAGGGATGTGCTACTCTTCTGTTCCAAGGGTTCTTTGCTCACAGTGTGCTGTGGCTCATCAGAGACAAAGGATCCGCAAAGCCATACCTGCTGTTTGTTGGTTTTAATGGGGAGGCTTTGTTGGCCAGTCCCTGTCTGTCCTGGGATCCATTGACTCTCTCTGCACCCTGTTTATTTGTGCTTCTGGTGTGTGCCCACTGACCACAATCCACCATTCTTTGCTTTCTCTTCCTGTCTCCGTTTTCCTAAGAGTATCTACGAGGGAAACTTTGGGTGTGGCTACTTAAAAGAGAGGCGAGCGTCGGGACTAGTGTTTTGTGAGAATACTACCTCAGTCTATAGAACACTATTTGTGAGTCCTCCAGCTCCTTCTTCTGTGTTCATTGAAGACTGCCAAGTGTGGCCTGGAGCTTCTGTGCAGTCTGCTCACTGGAATGTTGTGCATGCTATTTTCATTTTCTTGCATGACTTCAGTTACCATGCCTTCATTTGATGCTGATTTTGTCAAATGTGACTCTGCTGTGATGTTGGGAGTACATCTGACATGAGATGAACTAACACGAACTAACATGAACTAACTCTACTGCTGCTGGTCCATAAAGTATTGTAATTAGTCCTCTGAAGGAAAAACAAAGCCATAAGGTCACATTGATTTTGAGGTTCATCTCAAGAAGAGATATAAATACTGCTTTAACTTTCACAAAACTTTCTTGAATCTATTTTTCCTCAAGAAGGATAGCAGCATTAGAACTTAGGCGGTCTTCCAGTCCACACCACCTTGTCCTCTCTGTCACCGGTTATGGTCACATGAAGCCACGAGTCTGCACATCATGTGAGAGCCTGCTTTTGCCACATGACCCAGCCAGAGCCTCTGGAGAAGAAAGCTGTAGGGGGTCCATGATTTATTTCTTTCTAGGAACTTAAAAGAGTTCCCCAAGTTTGATGGCATTACATCTGATCCCATCGCCTGTCTGCTGCTTCCACTCCTGTGCTGTTCAGGGCTCTCTGGTGGCTGCTGAGTTCATTTCCTCTGGGGTCATAGAAAACTACACCAGACCCTCTACTCTATTAACTAGTGTATAGAATCACCCTTTAGGTTTTTACTATAATTAGTGAGATTTGTTAAGACCTCTTAAGGAAGGAAATGTGGGTATTGAGCACTGTTTTATGGAAAAGGAAAAACAGTACCCTGATGAATAGGCAAGTCACACTAGTAGTAAGCAGCACCTTGATGTCTCTAATTCTGTACTCATAAGCTGCTTAAGGCAAAAGAAAGCTGGTGTAGAGGGGTGTCCTCCTGTAACTCCTGAACTCTGGAGATTAAGGCAGGACATTTCCTCTTTCAGGATTGTGGCTGTGTCTCAAAAACAAAACAAAACAAAACAAAACAAAAGGAAGGCCATTAGAATGATAATGCCAGTAGAAGCCATCACTTCTTAGAAAATGGTTTCTGCTTCTCTTAGGAAAAAGTCATCAAAAACTCATATAAGTGACAAGGCCAATCTATTCTGTCAGTGTGTCTCCAGTAATATTTCTAGGTCTCTTTTCTTAACCCATAACTGTTTTTTCTTGGTACAAAGAACATATTTTTGAGTCGGATTCTTGAGTTGCTTAGTAATTCTGACATCAATGGTCAGCCTCTCAGAATTCCTTCTCTTCGAAGCTGAGCTTTATGATGAAAATATGCACCTATTTTTATTTCAGTTTGGAAATATCTACTTTATTATTATTTAGCCTTTCTGTAGAATTCCTCACAGAGTAGAGCTTTCTCCACATAAAATCTTCTATGGAGTAAACATATATATACTTTTTATTCACTGGTTTCCAGTGTAAAGACAACACAAAGCACAGAAGTGACTAAGATTAGAGATCTGAGACCTTATCACTGTAGAATGTTCACTGCTTGTATTCTCTTAATTCTGTGACTGAAGATTATTATCTGAGATGAATGGTATTTCCATGCTGCCTACCTTACATATAAGAACACGACTATACCATAGCTACCACTGAGCAGACCCTTAAAGACAGACATACTTTTTACAGGTAATTTTAGGTTTTGTTTGTTTGAGATAGAGTCTCATATATCCCAGTCTGTCCTGAAATACTTTATATAGCTGAGAATAACCACTGAACTTCTGATAATCCTTCATCTACTTGCAAGTGCTAGGATCGTAGATATGGACCACAGTTCCAATTTTTTGAGGTGCTAGGATCTGAACTCAGGACTTCCTATATGCTAGGCAAGTAGTCTCCCATGACCTCTATCCTGAGTGCATGGTTCTTGATTGGGGTTGGGAGGGAAGGACAGGTGCTGCTGTCTGCAGTGACTGAGAGTCCAGGAGTTCATGATACCTGGTGTCTGACTTCTGAACCTTACACCTGAACATATGCCAGTATTTTAGTAACTATTTCAGTAACTAGTCTTCCCTCCCCACCCCCTGCCCTCCCCTTGTGACATACAATTTTCTGTGACCTGACTCACAGCTGTTGCATTCCTAATTCACATCACCACTGTTGTCTTTGTTTCTCAATAATTGAAGCATGTTAGAATCACAAGTACATTTGGTTCAGCTGTTTCTATCCAGCGTGAACTTCAGGAAAGGAAGGCCCTTGTTCTATCTGGAGAGCATCAGTCAAGCTCCCTCTGAACCAAAATGCTTTGTTGGAACTTATTAGGGAATACCTGGCCAGGCTTCATCCAGACATAGAGGCAGGACGTTCTGAGTCTTCGGAGATCCTGTAGCCCTGCTTGAATAGTCTAGATTTAGACCCACTTAGTGTGACAGGAGCCCAGCTAGGTGCTTTACTTCTCACTTCCCTTATATCATAAAAGACTGGGAAGCTATTTCTCCATCTTCTTTCATACAACTTCGGTTTAATAAAACATTAAGAAAAAATAAAAATTCAGAATCAAATTTGATGTCATTTTAAGACAGTTACAACTAAAATGGCAAAAACCTTTAACCTCAAATGTGAATCCTGAAAGCTTATAAAACAAATGGTCAGTTTGAGAATGAGCCGACAACTAGCTGAAAAACTTCAGTCAGGAGGACATACAGCCTGTAACAATAGAATGTACTTAAATCCAGGAGAAACTTAGGATGACTTTGTTGGCCAGTTCTTCAACACCTCGGGAGTTCACAAAACAGATAGGCTCCATCTCTGGATGATGCTGTACCAAAAACACAGGTTTCAGATGGCATAGCAATGGCGTCAGCCACCATAGGTGGGACCATCTCCATCAGTGTGGAAAGCACAGTTCCTACTGTGCTTCATATTAAACCCCTAATTGTGAGTGACATTAGGGCCTTTCCTCAAGTCACACTCTTGATTTCTGCTAACACTACAAGTTGGAGGTGAAGAAGTGAAGGGTTACTAAGGATGAGGAAGTGTGTCCTGGTATTTTAGAGTATCAGTTGCTTATGGTAAAATCTTGAGTGTCAATCTGGCCGTTTGTATGATTTTTGGCCTGGTTTAAGAATTTGTTTTTATGAATTTTCGTGTCATTAACCTTACATAAACTCCTCATTGCATGTTTTATTAACCCTTGGTGTATTCATTTTCTTCTGACCTGAAAGAGTAACCCATTAGACTTTAATCCCGGTGTCTTGAAGAAGTCTGCAGTTCAGAGAGCTTTAAAGGTAAACGAAGTGTTCCCTTGAGGCTCCAGTGCTAATCAAGACATATTGAAAGAGATGATACTTTGGCTTTCCTAAATGTGTGGGCAGGTGACCTCCCACCCTACTTAATAATTGATTGTCCAAAAGAAGAGATCCTACTTTTGTTTTTTTCCAGAATTTGTACCTAAGATATTACATCAACCACAGTTAAATTTTAAAATTCCAATATATGAAAATTTAGATTTCATTCTATCATAAAGCCATTAAAATATTGTGTTTTATTTGAATTTGAACTTTGAGTGGCAATCTGAAAGTTCTATTTAAAATCTTAACCAAATTTTCACACTGTGATTTAAAGATGCACCTTGCAAACTGTTGATGATGCCTACTTAAGGAATTGCCTCTTCCAATATGTTGAGTAGGGTCTCACTGAATCAACCTCATGGCTTTGGTGCAGTGGGCTTGGGTGATAGATCTTTCCAGAAGGTCCAATTTTTATCAAATGAGGTATATTGAAAACTAAGCTCCACTTCATATCCAAGACAATGGCTTGTGTTCTCTGGCTAAATTGTTGATGTCTGTTTCCTAATTAAGCTTAATTACAGTGAGAGCTAGGGGCATTTTAAGTATAATTGTCTTAAGAGTATTCCAAAGAAATAGAAACATTTTAATCAGTTTTATCTAGCAAAAAAAGTTAAATTTCTAAAATGAAGGAGATTGTCAGTGAGTACCATATTTGTAAACCTTACTATGACCTGAACTAAGGAGATAATCGTGTAGTTTTAGGAGGGCATCATGTCCTGAGAGGGCTAGTTAACATGGGGCTGAAACAACTATGCCTCCCAGCATAGTTGGGACCTATGGTGACTTAAGGAAGGGACCTGGAGCAACTCTTTGCTCACCATTCTTTTGCTGTCTTATTGGACAGCAGAGCATAGAGGTCAGGAAGGAAGGCTCTGAACTCATGTTGCTCAGCATTGTGATTCAAAGACAATATTTAATACATCCTATTTACAGGGTAGAAGTAATTTCTTCATTGTGTTAGTAAGGAAATTAAAATATTACACATAAAATATGTAGTAGGTAGATAAATAGATGTGCTGTAATTATCTGATTTAACACATCAGCTCAGTTAAGCCTAAAAAGTTCTAAAAATGATATTGTGCCTTTTTGCAGACATGGAACCTAAGGCTCAGATGAAAACGTCTCAGTAGTCAAGAGTTAGGAAGATGAGATTTAATCTCACAGAATAAGACTATGTTTTGGGAGATCATTTCTGCATAGTACATTAAGTTCAACATGTAACTTAAAAGACTATATATTTTTATATTTTGTACTTTTGACATGTGCTGCTGTAATTTAAATGTTCTCTCAAGGTAGAAAGTTTAATGAATGATTTAAAAACTTTGTATAATCTAAAACATCATCTGTGTTAAGGCACACCCTTATACTATAAACCATTAAAAAGATTATAAAAGTGTCAGCTAAACTTTTATTTATTTTATATTTACTGCAACTTTAGATTAGAATAAATAAATTTTAGTGTGGCATTCTCAGACACACACACAAAAGTATGCACAATAAATTGATTAAAGCAGTGACAACTGCAAATTGTTCAGAGGCTGGTTTCTAATGTCACCAGTTATAAACTTCATTTTATTTTTAAGAATATTAGAAGGAGGCTCACCGTAAAATTGTAGATTCATTAAATCTTTAAAACCGAATGGCCCCATTTTTACAAATACAGTCTTAATATTAGTTAGAAATAAATTCATGTATCAAAGACCCAAGGTAGATGTGGCTTAAATCATTGTGATTTTATGCTCCAGAACTGTGCAAGTTCTCCTTAATAGCTTGAACCTCATACTTAGTATAGGCAAGGCCTGCCTGCCCTCCTTGAAAATCAGAGTTTCTCAAGTAGCCAGGAGGAAAAGTGACGTAGCATCCCTATTCCCAGAGGACTTGTGCCCAGCTGAGGGTTAGAAAATTCTCATATTAAAGAAAGAGGAAATAAATTTAGGAAAAGTGATCTGGCTTTGATATTTTTAACAGTATTTATTTCATTTTGCAGAATTCATTCACATCAAAAAGATGAACCAGAAAATAGATTATCACAGTAGGTTTGGGTTAGTCATATCTTTTGAGTAATAAAATTATTTTGACATCTATTTCTGTCATTGCTGCAGTGTTGAGGATTGACTCTAAAATTATTTAACTAAAATACTTTTTTGTGACCATCTAATTTACATTAACATTTAACTGCATCTTTTTGTGGGGCTAAGTTACAAATAAACCTCATGCCACATGTCTGTTGTGTTTTACTATATTTTCTTCTATCAGCTCTCTGCTAAAGTATGCTTCTTGTCATTTTTTGTTTATAGATTTTTAAATCATATTTATATTTTCTTAATTCTATGAAATTCTAAACTGACATTTATTCTTCTGGTGATGTTTACTTAGCAGCCGGTAAGCACTATCCAACGTCTGATAACTGTTTACTTGAACAGGATGGTGGTAGGTTCAAGGTGTAAAGGTGTGAATCCGAAACTGTAATGTCTTTTACTGCAGCTGGAGAAGTATTCTGAGTTAACATTCTTTTACATTTGTCTTCTTTTTATTATTTATGTTCATTTCTCTTGCGTTTTTGTTATCCTAATAAGTCAGTTTTTAAAACTGTAGTTAATATTAAAGTTTTAAATTTTAAAAGATTGCATTGCCCCAAAGTAGCTTACTTTTGAAGTTTGACATTTCAAACTTGTGTGCAGACGGACATAAGAACTTGTATATATAGTCACAATCACTTTGGAGGCTTACGTGGGAGAATCACTCATGCCACAGAGTTCCACACTAGCCAAGCAGTATGTCAGGCCCTGTGTCTCTTTAAAAAAAAAAAAAAAACCAGCATGTGAATGGAAGTTTTCTCAGTCTGCTTCATGATGGACATAATAATGGTGGCTCGGGGTTTGCTTAGCACATGTTTTCTACTCCATTGTTCTTTGATGTTCTCCGTGTCTGAAGTATCAGGGGTAAATAGAAGTGACTATTGTTCATAAAAATGAACCGTTACCTCGTTTTTTAGCAGGACCCATTTCAAAGTGTGTTTATTTATTTTATCTGGTTTTGTCTTTTTTGTTTTTGTTTTGTTTGTTTTGTTTTGTTTGAATAGTCAGGGAAGAAAATAAACAGCAACCCAAATCCTCTTGTCCAGATGTCAGTCGGTCACAAGGCTCAAGAAAGTAAGGTAAGAGCTTGATGGAGTTCTGAACGCCCTGCATATGGCCTCACCTGCCACTGTCCCCAGCAGGAGCGGCCCAGGCATGTGACGTGCCGACATTGCTTCCACTGCAAGTCATTTCATAAACGCAAGCTGCTCAAGTGTGACAAATGCATTTTCTAATTTTAAATAACAGAACATGCCATAGAGATAGACTTCTGTTTGATTTCATGTGAAAGATATGGAATCACTCCCAAGCTTTTAAGTACTTAATAATTATTTAGTTTACAGATAACACATTGTACTTCAAATTCAGCAAACACAGGCTCAAAAATTCAAAGAGTATACTGCTATATGTTCCTCTTTTCTGATCAAGCGGGGCAGAATTGGAAATTACTCACAGTTGTAGGGCATTGTTAAATTGTATATGACAGTCCTTTACAAAGCAGGGCTATGTGTGGTACAGTGCCAGAGGGCCAGCCACATGAGAGAGCTGGAGACCACAGAGCAGCAGAGGTCTTGGTCTCTGGGCAGCTAGGCGTGGACTCCCTGTCAGCTCCTTTCATACTCCTCACAAAGCTTATGCTTCATCTTTTGAACACTTCTGTGCTTACTGAGATAATAGTACATTCCTCAGTAAATATGTGACTTTTGATTTAATCACCCTGTGCTTGTATACACATTAAATGAGTAAGTATTGAGTCAGTAGTCCTTCTCCATAGAAAATACGTGAGAATTGATATTGAACTCTTTCTTACAGATTCGATATAAAACTAGTGAGCCTGTATGGGAGGAAAACTTCACTTTCTTCATTCATAACCCCAAGCGCCAGGACCTTGAAGTTGAGGTATTTTTTAATTGCGTTTTGTGACTATATTTTGAAATATGGTTGATACAAATTATGTATATTTACAGTTTCTGAGTACATAGTACACTGGGACCCATTACTACAGTCAAGATAGAGAAATTCTCTTACTCTCTGTGACTCACAGCTCTCCGAAACCCATTGCCTTAATTAGGGTTTTTATCGCTGTGACAGAACACCATGTCCAAAAAACAAGTTGGGGAAAAAGGATTCTTTGGCTTACACTTGCAAATTGCTGGAATTACACTTTCATTATTGAAGGAAGTCAGGACAGGGCAGAATCCTGGAAGCAGAAGCTAATGTAGAGGCCATGGAGGGGTGATGCTTACTGGCTTGCTTCCCATGGTTTGCTCAGCCTGCTTTCTTATAAAACCCAGGACCACCAGCCCAGGAATGGAACCATGCATAATAGGCTGGGCCCTCCCCCATCAATCACTAAGAAAAGCCAGATCTTATAGAACCATTTCTTCAATTAAGGTTCCCTCCTTTTAGAAGACTCTCGTTTGTATGCCAGGTTGTCGCAAGGTTAGCCAGAATGCCCATCTTTTGTTTAGATCTGTGTCACGTTAATCTTCATTTGTGTATCAGGAAAGGGTCATGATTCTTTATTTAATGTTTAGCTACATAATTGTTCAGCACATTGTTGAAAAAAATTATTCTTTGCTATATATTGAGGTTAATGACTCTATGGAAATTCAGGACCAGTATGCAGCTTGCTTCTAGAATGATTCAGCTCAGGGTTCTGTACTACCACTATGCCAGCACCATTGTCTCTGTTGCTAGTATTTAATGAGTACAACATAAAATCAACTTGTATAAGCACTGAAGCTTACTTTCTACATTGTTTTCACTAATTCTGTGTCTATATCCCATATGAATTTCAGTATCAATTGTAGGTTTATTCAGAGAACCTATAATTCTGATAAGTACTCCTGACATTATAGAACCAGTGGGTAGAACTGACGTCTCCACAACAGAAAACATTCCAGTGGGGGGTGATGTGAGTAATATGTGATTGATACATAGGAACATTACTTTGTTGGCTTTTTATACTTAATAGTCTTTCATTTTTCTCAGTAGTATTTTATAGCTTTCTATGTTCAACATAGGTCTTACACATATGTCAGACTTATCCCTAAACATTTAATACTTTTTCATGATGTTGTGTTTGATTTTACTTTATTTCCTTATTTGGAGTAAAGACAGGACCTTGTTCATTCCAGGGAAGAGCTCTACCAATGTTTCCCAACCATTAAATGGTTCCTAATCTTGTGGGGTTTTTTTACTATTATATGTATGTGTATGTATATGTGTGTGTGATATATATACATATACATACATACACACACACACAAACACACACACACATATATATATACACATACACATACATACACATACATATATTCATACACACACACACACACACACATACATCCAGACATTGTAGTAGATTCCTCAGTAATCTCAGCATTTAGAAAGCCAAGGCAGGAGGATGATAAGTCAAGACTAACATTAATTATCTAGTAATAAGACCATATGTCAAAACAAAACAAGCAACATCAAAGCCAATAGGAGACTAAGGAAATAGAGCAGGCAATAAACTACTTGTTGTGCAAGCATGGGATCTGAATTTGATCCCCAGAACCTATGTGGGAAGCCAGGAATGGCAGCACAAGTTTATAATTCCAGCTCTAGAGAGATGGAGACTGGTATATCCTTGGGGCGTACTCTACTCAGCAAGTTCAAAGCCAAATGAGAGACAGCATTTCCCAGGGTGGGGGCCCAGGGATGTAGTTGATACTTATATATTGATACAGTTTCAAACAACCCACTAAAAATTTATTTTTTTGTTTACTTCTTTGTTTGTTTGTTTTGCTTGTGGGAAGGGGCAGTGGATTTGATCACATGGTCTTGAATTTACAATTCTAAAGGTTGGGCTGAGATTATAGGTATGTGCCACCTTGCCAGGTCTGCTTACTTGTTCCATTAGATGTTTTGTAGCTATCTTAGAATTTTATGTGTGAAACATGTTATCTTCTAGTAATGATTCTTTTCATAAGAATCAGATACTTTTTTTCTTACTTTTCTTGGCCAGCCTCCCTGTTCAGCCGTCTTTACTCTACAGAAGTAGCACATGAGTCTGGTCTCCCTAGAGATATCCCTTTTCTTAGTTTGCTCTGTCTTCATGAATAGATCCTGACTTTCACTTAAGGCTTTGTATATATGTTGAAATGACCATATGCTTTTCAACTGTAAATATGGTGAAATACATTGTTGATTTTCAAATGTTAAATATTGCAAACTTTCATTTGTTTTTCTTTTTTTCACATTTAATTTTTAGATACCTTGAACACAATATTTTATTGGGGATGTCTTAGTTAAGGTTTCATTGCTGTGAAGAGACACCATGACCATAGCCACTCTTATAAAGGGAAACATTTAATTGGAGCTGGCTTACCATTTAGAAGTTTAGTCCATTATCGTCATGGGAAGTTTAGTCCATTATTGTCATGATGAAAGTATGGCGGTGCTCAGGCAGGCATGGTACTGGAGAAGGAGCCGAGAGTTTTACATTCGATGATCTGCAGGGGCAGGAAGAGAATGACTCACACTTCCTTCCTCCAACAAGGCTATATCTACTCCGGTAGTGTCACTCCCTGTGGATCTTTGGGGGCCATTTTCATTCAAACCACCACAGGGGATAAGCCCCACTGAGTCGTGATCATTTTCACATATATCTGCTTATTAGAATTCTTACTTTTGGGGTCTGGAGATTTGGCTGGAGTCCCAGGTAGAAGACCTGGATTCTGTTCCTAGCATTCACTTGGCAGCTCCCAACTGCCTGTAATTCAAGCTCCAGGGAATCAGATGTCCTCTTCTGGCCTCTGAGGACACCTGAACACACATAATACACATAAACTCACTCAAGTACACACACGCACACACACAATTGGATAAATAGAAAAAAAGAAAAACATTCTTGCCTTTTAATCATGAGGGTTGCTGATTGTAATTTTGCTTTCTATTAATTTTTTTATGTTTTGATGTCAAGATAGCCTTTTAAATGAGTTAGAGAGCACTTGTTCCAGAGTTTTCTGGAAGAGCCTGTACGGAATTGTTTGGACTTTGCCTTTATCACTTGGATTTTTCATTTTGAGGAGGTGGTTACATACATACTGGATTCTTGCTCTATCTATGTCCACTCTTTCTTCTTTATAAACTATGGTATTTATTCCTTTTAAGGAATATGTTTATTTTGGCAAGAGTTTGTTCTTTCTTTGATCAAACTATTTTTTTAATTTTTATTTATTTATTTAATGTATGAGTGCTCTGCTGTATATATTATCTGCCTGACTGAAGAGGGCATTGGATCCCATTACAGATGGTTGTGAGCCACCATGTGGTTGCTGGGAATTGAACTCATGACCTCTGGAAGAGCAGTCTGTGCTCTTAGCCTCTGAGCCATCTCACCAGCCCTGATCAAACTATTTTTAACAACTGCATGATGGGTATAGTTCTTATAACAGAGGCAATGCTGAAGATTAGTATTCATGAGAAAGAAATACCATGTATTTAAAGGAGATGCTGTAAATTTTCAAAGCAAGTGTGTAGACTTTGAACAGGGAAGGATTTAAGACACTTAAAAATGCATTTTTTTCCATGAGTAAGTATCTTTAGTAGAAACTTTGCATATTACTGTCATTGTGTACCATATGATTTCAGAGTGTAAAGGGTATTTCCTTCTGACTGTTAGGTTTGTATAGACTATTACTTTTTAATTTTTTAAGATTTATTTTATGTGTATGAATGTTTTGCTTACATGTATAGCTATGAATGTCTGGTGCCCCTGGGGGTCAAAAGAGGATTCCTAGGAACTGGAGTTATGGATGGTTGTGAACCACCATGTCTGTTCTAGGAATCAAATATGAGACCTCTGCAAGAACAAGTGCTCTTAGCTGCTGAGCCATCTTTCCTGCCTCTAGACTGTCAATTCTCCTGAAGTTTCTCACAGTAGATTTACAAAACAAGGTGTCCTTTGTTATGTTTATCATGATTTTGTAATGAGGAAAGGGCAGGTACCTCTGACAGAACTACTGCTGTATTGTCCTAAGAGGTTCCCTAACAGTTTTGGACACACTACTAAAATAATATATATGAAATGTATTGTGTTTTGTTTTGCACTAGTGTTTCTTTGATGCTAATTTCTGAACCCTTCTTCATTTAAGTTCCTTTTTGTTTTCCTTGGTGTTCAAAGTGGGTTTTTTGCCCTGCATCTTTCAGGTCAAAGATGAGCAGCATCAGTGTTCTCTGGGAAGCCTGAAGATCCCACTCAGCCAGCTGCTTACGAGTGACAACATGACTATAAACCAGCGGTTCCATCTTAGCAACTCGGGTCCAAACAGCACCTTAAAAATGAAGATTGCCCTACGGGTACTTCATAGTTCTTAACAGGGCTCAGTAGTGTGAGGGAAGAACACAGTAATGCCTCAGTCCCAGCCTGTGCAGAGGTGGTTCTACAGGCATGCATCAGGTGATATGGTAACCGGTTGACAGTTGGAGGGGAGCAGAAACTGTAGCAGAGTTGTGGGAGTACAATCTAGACTCCATTCTGAACAAACTATTTCTAGATTCATTGACTGCCCAGGATGGCCGACGAAATATGTCTGTGCCATTAGAGTTTGCTCCTCAAAGTTGGATATTCAAAGGTTGTTCAGAAGGCAGTTTGATAAGCACTTATAAGAGGGAGAAGTGACAAGAACAAAAATGCCATTGTTCAGAGTAGAAATACCTGAGTACTTAGTGACAGGAAATGCTTAAACATACAGGGAATGACATTAATTAAAAGTATTCACCAGCAGTTTCAACTAACCTGGACCCCTGAAATCTCTCAGACACTAAGCCACCAGCCAGGTAGCATACATGAACTGGTCCAAGGCCTCTGACACATTTTCAGCAGAGAACTTCCTGGTGTGGTCTCTGTGAGAGAAGATTCACCTAACCCTCCAAGAGACTTGAGGCTGCAGGAAGTGGGGAGGTCTGGTGGGGTAGACTAGGGGAGGAGGTGGGGACATCCTTTTGGAGAAGGGGGAGGAAGAATGGGATGAGGAACTGTTGGAGGCCAGACCAGGACGGGGAGGGTAACAACTAGATTGTAAAAAATTAAAAGTAATGAAATAAGTAGGAAGAGGAGAAAGAAGAGGAGAAGGTACACACACACACACACACACACACACACACACACACACAGTATTCAAATTGGGCCAGGAGATGGCTTAGCAGGTAAAGCCCAAGCCTGACAACCTGAATTTAATCACTGAATACACCCCAGGTTCAGTTCTCTTGTAAAAAATAACTGAATCCACAGGATTGTTCTCTAACCATGACAAACATGCCATGGCACACATACCTCTATAAAAACAAGATTAGATAAAAATTACAATAAAGAGCCAACTTTTTGTTTTAACCCATAGCCTTGAACATGCTGGGCCAGTGTTCTACTGCTGAATTATACTCCTGCCCTAAGAATGAACATTTTATTTTTAATTAAAACAGACTCAGTCTGACAGGGTGCTGTGGAAATGCTCTTCTTGCACATGATCAAGACATGGCACAACCTTATAGTGACAAAATAATGGTGACATTACCCGCTGCCAGTTCCCGAGCCCTTCTGGTTACAGCATAAAATGTATGGAGTCTGTGAAGTTAAGGCGTTTGCTATAGCTGTGGTTAATAAAACCAGAGAAAATCAGTAACTCCAGAATGTTCTGCTGAAGATAGGCCTGGATTACATGGTTTGCCTCTCACAGTCTGCAGGATGATGTGGCTGTCTCTTGATTACTGTATTACACTTGTTTGGGGAGGTCTTTCTGGATAGCAAGGTATCTTGGTATTCTTCCTTTGTGTGGGAGTTTCTGGTACAAACTACCTGGGAGAATGAGAGATCCCATCTCCTGCCAAGGGCACATGGCATGTTGATTGGTTAGTCGGTGCCTTGTCCCATAATTAGAATATGTTCAAGTGGAAGAGATTAGAAGGTGTAGAAAGGTGTTTGTATTACAGACGTAGTTTTAATTGCTTAAATTTGCCCTTTTTAATGATTTGTTTTGTATTTTAGAGACAGGTTCCCTCTACTTGGCCCTGGTTGTCCTTGAATTCTCTATGTAGACCATGCTGGTTTCAAACTCACAGACATCTGCCTGCCTCCCAAGTGCTGGGATTAAAGACATGTGCCATAATGCCTGGCAAAATTTGCTTTTTTAATTCTCCATAATATCCTATTTCAATAACTGCATAGCTGAACAGATTAGAGTTGTAAAAATTTAGTCAAATGTTAAACACAGTGTTACACTGCTGTCCATGGCTTCCCTCTAGGTCCTGCATCTTGAAAAGCAAGAAAGGCCTCCAGACTACCAGCATTCAGCTCAAGTGAAACGGCCCTCTGTCTCCAAAGAGGGGAGGAAAATGCCTATCAAATCTCAGATGTCTGCATCTCCAGGCACTGGTGGTACCAACACTGCTCCGTCAACACCAGTCATGGGAGTCGATGATAAACCTGTCATGGAGGAGAAGCCCCAGCCCCCTGAGGCCAGCCCTCTCGGGCAGCGTGACCTTGGCAGGAGCTCCTCCAGCCTCTTGGCCTCTCCAAGCCACATCCCAGCCAAGGAACCCACCCCAAGCATTGCCTCAGACATATCACTGCCCATTGCCACTCAGGAGCTGAGACAAAGACTACGTCAACTTGAAAAGTAACTAAAGCTCCTGTGATTGTTTATCATTTCAGAGTTTCCATCCCGCACACGGCAGCAAATAACACTTTGCTGTTTTATAGGACCTTGGATGTGTTTAAAAACAGTAGTGGTGTAAGATGTTTTACAGATGGAAAAGGCAAGAGAATTGAGCTGTGTAGAAACCATACACTCAGTTCATGCCTGGGACAGACTCCTGCAGGGATAGTCTGTCACTAATGTGCTGAACATTGTGTCACCTATACAGGTTTGGCAGAGGCTCGTCTTGTCTCCATTGTAGAATGCAAACCTCACCACCACCAAGTCCCTCCTGGTTTTCTTTGGACATTTGCCATGGCTTATAGGTGGTATTGATGTTCCTTCAGATAAGGAGGAAAATAGTTACCATATGCACCTGACATATGGTAGCCTCCTATGACACCCGGTTATAAGGAAATCAAAGTAGCAGCGGTTATAAAAGTACTTGAAGACACAGCATTGGCAGCGCCTGTTTCTCTGAGGCTCCACTGACCCACGCTCACCTTTTGTTTTCATGCTTTCTCACATGGATCAGGCCAAGGTTGGGGATGTAGTGCAGTGATAGAGCACTTGCCTAGCAGCAGGCGGAGGGAACTTCAGCCACAGGATTGACGTCTGTCTCAGGGAGAGCTCTGTGTCTCATTTGTATCTTGAGTGCTCATTTGGAAAGCTGTAGTTGTGAATAATTAAGGGATACCAAACCCTCAAGTGAAATAATTTTAACTTGGTATATATTCAGAAGTTTCAAATCATGTTTAAGTTCATGGGCAGTTAGATACCATTTTGTCTAAATGAGTGGACATTATCTTACTGTACACATGGAACCAATACAGCAGATCTTTTTTGATGTTGGGGCAGAGCTGGTGACATTATGTTGTTTCCACAGTGGGACAACCCTGGGACAGTCTCCTCTGGGGCAGATCCAGCTGACTATTCGGCACAGCTCCCAAAGGAATAAGCTCATCGTGGTTGTGCACTCCTGCAGGTGAGTCCAACTGCCACTGGGGCTATCTGGTTATTTCTGTCTCATGTGATTTCCTCCTCCCCCCCCCCACCCCCACCAACCCCACTGAATCAGTAGTACTGTAGATATTTTGAGCTTATAAAAAATCTTTTGAAAACATGGGTAAATAATAGAACTGGTGGCATTGACACAAAGGTCCTGAAAAATATAGAGCTCAGTTCAGTGAGGGGTTGTGGGGACCCTGTGTATTCCGGCTGCTCTGATAGTGACTACTGAGGGTGAACACTGCAGGGGCTACTCCCATGGCTCTGAAGACCGCCTGCCTGTGGCTGGGGGTAACTGAATGTATTTGGCTTATACTAGTTATCCTAGGGAAAGAGCAGGGGACAGGTTCATGGAAGAGGTTAACCCTGTGCAGCAGCTATGATTGAAGGTACTTCCGAAGTAGCCAGGGCTACTCAGGGTCTTACTGACAGAAGGAAAGTCTGTGAGAAACATAGAGCAAGGACTGTAAATGTCTGCCCACGCTCTGGGTTTAGGTAGTAAAGGCAACAGTTACTCTGGCAAAGCTGTTAAAAGGAAAGTTTAAAAGGGACACCAGCAGCTAGCAATTCAGAAATTTACTTTGGGAAATTTGATATGTGTTGCTCCTTGCGGTTTAGATAAAATGAAGTCAAAACTTGATAAAATAAGTTTAATATGGAATATTTTTATTTTTTAAATTCTAATGTCTAGTCTTCTCTGGTTTGTATTATAAGAAACCTCATTGCCTTCTCGGAAGATGGCTCTGATCCATATGTCCGCATGTATTTATTACCAGACAAGAGACGCTCAGGAAGAAGGAAAACACACGTATCAAAGAAGACACTGAACCCTGTGTTTGATCAGAGGTATAGTGGACCCTTCATTTAGCCAAGAGGCTACCTGAATGAAATGTTAGGTTAAGGCAGCTTGATAAGGCTGTGGAGAAACAGGATTCTCTAGCATATCCCAGCACCTGTTGCTTGTTAAGCAACTCAAGAAGGTTTGACCTTCCTGCAGGGGTGTTAAACATTATATATCCAAGTTACGATGATGCAAAGAAGACTGATGACTAAAGGCCTTTTTCCTTTTTTTTTCTTTTTTGAATATTCAAGACAGGGTTTCTTTGTGTAACCTTGGCTGTCCCAGAACTCGCTCTGTAAACCAGGTTGTCCTTGAACTCAGAAATCTGTTTCTGCCTTCTGAGTACTAGGATTAAAGTCCATACTGTCACTGCCCCCAGCTAAAGGTTGAATCTTATTGATGACTTAGAATAATTTTGATTTAGTGGGTAACATACACTAAGACTGAATTTTAAATTAAACAGAATTTTAAAATATATTTAATTATTTTTTTTTATTTTTGTAGTATAGGATAGTAACACAAAATACAAATTTTTGAGTAAACTCTGTTTTTTCTAAAACAATTTCAAAAAATTAATGGAAATATATTTTTTTGCAAGTCATAATGATCACCTTAATACAAGCTGCCTTTGTGTGATCAAGGTCAGTCTGATGGCCAAGTTGCTTGTAGTCACCTAGAGATCCTTGGGTCACCAGTCTGTGCAAACTCCCCATCTCATGGCTCTCTGGCAGTGTAGCATCTGCTAGCTTTGAGAAAAGTAATCCAGCTAAATAGCATTAGTATCTGTTGGCCCAGTTCTGTTTCTTCCTTAGAGGCTCCTTCCCTCAGTGTTCTCATGCAGTAACTTTATGTAAACTGAGGTCAGCTGGATAAGCACCGAAAAGACAACAAGAAAAAAGCAGTTTTTGGAATGATCTCAGAAGCAAGTGTTTTTAGCTAGAGGAAAATGCAGCAGGGATCATCAGGAGCTTACTTGAGGTGTTGTTTCCATTTCAGCTTCGACTTCAGTGTTTCGCTGCCTGAGGTGCAAAGGAGAACATTGGATGTGGCAGTGAAGAACAGTGGTGGCTTCTTGTCCAAAGATAAAGGGCTTCTTGGCAAAGTGATTTTTTTTTAAGTCCTTGTATCCTACACATTGTAGAATTAAATGCAATTTAGATCATAGCTTACATAGTGGGAAGGGAGCCTCCCTCTGGTTAATGCATGTTTATCACATTGTGGTAAGACATCAGTACATAGCTGTTTTCCTGCATTCTTACTATTGGCTTATTACTCATACTAACATCAGGAACTTTGAGGTGAAGAAATGTTGATTGTTTTTGAAATTTTAAAAACTGTTCAGTATTACATTGGAAGAAAACGTGAAGGAAAATACCCTCAAATAGCCTGCTGCCCCACAGTTCAGCTAGTCATACTTCCTCTAGCATGTCATTGACTTTCTTCTTCCAAATTTTCTTTTGTTTCTTTTTTCCATCTCTCATTTAATTTTGATGTAGGTTTATTGATTATTTTACAGTGTAAAGAGGTTTAGATAGGGAAAGGGGCTTTTGAGTTGTAGGTGCCACTTTGTCAACAGCAAAGTGAAAAATCTGTTATCAGCCAGACTATGACAAATACCTAAGAGAGGCAGTGTAAAAGGAGGGAAGGTTTATGTTTGCATCTTGATTTCAGAAGTTTCAGTGAGTGGGCCCTTGGCTCTGTTATTTCTGGGCCCGTTGTAAGGCAGAAGGTCATGGTGGGAAGCATGAGGCAGAGCTGAGCTGTCCACCACACAATGGCCAGAGAGCAGAGATATGCAGAGACCAAAGAGAAAGCACAGCTTTCCTGAGCACATCCCCCACAGTTCCCATCGCATCACAGTATGAGTCTGCCAGACAAGTAACCCATTGATGAGGTCAGAGCCTCCGGGTTCTCGTCACCGCAGTTGTCAACCAACCTTTTAAAACATGAGCGTTTTACAGTCACTTCATGTCCAAACCACACACTGCCATTAATGACATATTTGCTAGTATGTCCATAAACTGCCTCTGTGTGTGTTTCATAATAATTGTAATACTATTAGATACAAAAATGAAAGCCTCAAAACATGAGATTTCTGTATTGTTAAGAAATTAGAGAGGTAGGAAGAAGTGGTGAATGATCTAAAGGGAGTACTCAGTAATTTTCACAGTACCTCCTTTTAACCCTCAGGTGCTGGTTGCTCTGGCATCAGAAGAACTCGCCAAGGGCTGGACCCAGTGGTGAGTGACCCTGTCCCAAGTAGCAGGCAGTTCCCAGAGAAACCTAGCTGTGTCTACCATCCCAAAGCCTGACCCAAGTCTGTTGTACTTTTCTGTGCTTTCTCAGGTATGACCTCACGGAAGATGGGACAAGGCCACAGGTGATAACGTAGCTACGCTGGACGTAGGCCTATTTCTCAGTGTATCGCGTGCCACCTCATCATGGAACACACCTTCTTGCAGATGTACCAATGCTATTTTTATAATTTTACGTATTGAGTTATACATACCTTAATAATTTTATAAAACTTGGCATTGTAGGAAAATGTGGCCAATATTATTGTTGAGTCTCCCTGTTGAGTTTGCTCCAGTGCTTCACCAGGCAGTGCAGTGTGCAGTGATGCGTCCCTGTGCTGTGTGGAGCTGTCAGCCACACCTGCTGGAAAGCAGGCACCTAGACTTGTTTCTGCCTTGTCCTGCATCCCAGAGGTGCACTACACCATGTAAATAGATTCTTTTTTATAATATCTACATGCTGGTTTGGATAAAGAAGAAAATGTATTAAGGAAATACATACTTTCTTCTAAGACTTATTACATTCTGTGACAAATAATCGTTTTCATCTATTCAGAAAAAATTTCTCATAGATCTGTTGTGTGGTATGGCTTTTTTAAGGGAAAAAATGGAAAGATTATTAAATATTAGAATTTTTATGTCTAGTATGAATGATAAAAAATTTCAAATTATTAACATTATTATAAATAGGAAAATACAGTGAGAATTCAGTGAATGGCTTATTTAAAAAGTTGTATAGCTGAGTAATGGACAATACCAAGAGCATTGTCAAGGCTCTTGAGAATTACAGTATACTTATCTGAAATTTATTACATAAGAAAGAAATGTGCTGTTTATTTGTGTAATTGTTTGTTGTAACAGATTCATGAATAGTACAGAGATACACACATGCTAGGTGTTGTGTTTCACATCTGTAATCCCAGGGTATGTATGGGAGGCCACGCCAGGAAGACCCAAGTATTAAAGGCCAGCCTGGGCTACACAGCAAGACTCTGTCTTGGGAAAAAGAAACATACATTATACTTTGCCCAAAGCATAGGAACTAATCTCCAATATTGGGATATAAGGTGTTATCAAGATTGATGCAAGCCTGGTTTATTTTGTCTATGTTTCTAACCCTAGGAAGACAGGTCTGTTGTCACTGTACAGTGGTGAGATGGGATGAATGGGTAACAAAGGTGCTGTGCTAAAGACTAACACTGCACTTGCTCTTGATGGGAGAACCTGGCCCTAAATCCACACGCAGGACACACACCTCTGGGTGGAGCTTCCTGTGCTTACGCTGATAGGTGACAAAGATCCTGCGCAATGCCAGCAAGCTGCTGTCAGGCTTGCCATTTTTGGATATCCTCATTTTGTGCCATGCCAGATATTAATACAATTTTTATTTTGGAATCTTTTTCTTTTTAGATTGGGAAAAGCAGGTTCTATATATGTAAGAGTCCCAAACCTCTTTTGAGGTGAGGCTATGTCACAGTATTATAAGCTATGCATGTCTGTAAACAAAAGATGCACAAATGTAGGATGATTTTTTTTTCAGTATGCATTTTAACCTCCAGGATGAAAAGGGCTTCTCAGCTATGAGATCATTTAAAACTATGTACACTTACAGCAGGAAAATACAGCTTTGTAATCAAAATTGGAGTAGTTCCATTCACATGCTTCCTGGAATTAAACAACCTATGGGAAGCTTATGTGACCAAACATACCAAAGTGCCTGTGATGAATATCGAGTGTTCATTTTACACTCTTCTCCTGTCCAGAAGATGAGAGTGTGCCTCAGTTTGTAATGTACCATGTGCAGTTGTAATGGAGTCTGTGACTCTTCACAGCGCATCCCAGGTAGTCATACGTAGGGTCAGAGTAATCTCTCTCCTGCCATCTCACACCTTCCTCAGAATCCTGTTTATAAATCTTGTTTCATTAGTGAGCAGGATTGGGAGAAAGTTTATGTGTATGTACACACATGAACATATATGCACATAAAATATTCAAGGATGGCATTTTAGTTGCAGGAGAAAGGCAGGTAATATCTTATTAAAACTAGTTGCTCGACCATGGTATTACATTTTTTTTTCTTAAGTGTCTTTTTATTTAGATCTATTGAAGAAGGGCTTCTGTCTATAAAGGAGGTTTTCTTTTTGCTGAAATTTTATCATGTCAATGGTTTTCACCAACAACCTATCTATCTTAGTTTTGTGCTCATACACTTAATCTGTTCAGTATATATTTTATTTAAGAAAATGCTTTTCATAACTAATTAGGCAAATTGAGTACAGTTAAGGGTACAATTCCCTAATAAGTCAGTATGATGCCCCCTGCTGACACAGAAGCTGCTGCCAATGAGTTCAGATACAGTGGCCCCATGTGCATCATCTGTGTCTTCAAGTAGCATCTCCAGTCTATGTGGAAAGAAGAGAGAAGGTCCAGTAATAGCAGCCCACTAGTTGTAGTTCTGCAGGCTACATGAGGAAGGTTACCAGCCGTCAAGGCACACTCCAGGGTCCTGAAGATAGAAGATACTTGTAGTTCTCAAAATGTTAACTTTTAGTTTTTAATGACTTATCTAGGAAAAAAAGAATGTCAAGTTTTCTACTTTGAGCCAAACCAATGAGGGAAATTAGTGATTTGAAGTACAGCTCTGCTAACTTATTCATGTGGTGGCTTATCCTGTGCCTTAAAGTACAAAGGTGTTTTCAAGTTTCAGATGGAAACAGAAGCAGCCTTGCAACCATATTTACCACCATTTGTATTTTGCACTCTATATTTCTTGTACAGGCAGTCCCTATGCAGAGGTATTTAGGATTAGTTTAAAAACCTCAGGCAGATGCAGAGAGTGCAGACTGCTGCAGTGACTGGTCCCACCTGGATTACCCACTGTAGAGGTGGACCATAGAGGGTGGGTTTTGTTTTTTGTTGTTTGTTTGTGCTTATTTGTTTGTTTGTTTTAATCATGAATGTCCTTTTTGCTTAATTTTATATAACAGCACATGTATTTATTCAATAAACTTTTATGTTAGTGTACTCTTAATGTGTCTTTTGTTTGTCTCTTGAACAAGTTTAGTGTGGGAGCAGCTAATTTGGAAAGCCCACATGCTGTGTCAGGTATATTTGCTATCTGTGCATTCTTTCATCCGAGTCTGACTCCTCCACGTAACTCACAGACTCTGAGTATCGCAAGCAGCTCTTTGAAGGGCAGTGGTTGAGTAGGAAAAGTAGACTAAATAAAACTGGAACACTGAGAAGTCCCCAAGCAAGATGCCGAGATAATGGAAGGTTTGAACAAGGGGCAAATGCTCGGCTATCCAGTGTCCCAGGTAGGCTTGAGGAAGTACTTTGTAGTCTTTTTTGCCATCATCACATTTAACCCTATTAGTTTCTTTAGATACATGCTGAAATGCCACCTTTGCTTGACTTTGTTTGTTGATAGGGTAGCCAAGACTGGCTTTCAACTAACAGTCCTCCTGCCTTAGTGTCCTAAAGGCTGAGATTACAAGTGTATGCTCCCGGTTTTTGTCCTTTATAATACCTTGGCTTACATTCATTAAAAAAAATAATAATGATAAAATAAAAAATAAATAAAATAAAAATCTTAGGACACCATACCTTCTGGGTAAGCACTTTACCGACTGAGCTATACCCCAACCTTTACTGCATTATTCTTCACTGTTGGTGTTACAAAACAAAACAAAACAAAAACCTCTTTTTTTTCTTACCTACATTCTAAATATTAAAATACACACTTTTTTTAATTTTTATTTTGTATTCAGACTACCACTGACCATCTGTGTTTTCCAAATTAGTATCGCAAATAGACTATCCAGTTCCCTCTGTAGCATCTTTCTTCTCTGTATTCTAGCAGGGTCCCCTCCTGTCTTTGTCTCTGTCTGTCTAGGTACCCGAGCTGAGGATTAAACAGCATCCTGCCTCCCTCCATCACATACACACACACTAAGGTCTTTAATCCTGACCTGAAGACAAACCTACTTCTGCTACTGCCTCAGGCCCATCTTGTCTCTTCTACTGTCAACTCCCCGTTCACCGTTGCTTCCTTCTTTGTTTTAAAAACAAATCTCAACTACTATTTTCCATTTCTTTTGCAATAATAATTAAGAGCCTATCTTCTCTCCCATTCCCCAAGACTTTGCCAACCACATTTCCTCCAGGGTCTACTTGTACTCAAGTTTAATTACCATGGTCCTTCCCGCCTCAGCATCTCCATGATACTCTTCACAGGATACGGGCCTGCACAATGTCCATTTCCTTTCACATGTAAAGTTGATTTTCTCAGTGTCCTTTACCAGCAATCTGACCTTAAGCAGCCTCCGTGATTCAGACCCTCGGCACCACGTTGCTTCTGCTTATCTTATTTAACAGAGTTTCAGAGGAGTATTACTTATAATCTTCCTGCCTCGACTGTAAACTACTAAGAGCAGAGACTGCATGAGTATTAATTTTTGATGGCTATTCTTAACATGCAAATGATAACCCACACATCTGTGGAATGAATGATCTATAAACATTTACAAACCATATAAAACTCTCATTTAATGAGCTCATATTCAAAGAATTCTTCCTCCTGACAGTTTTATTAAAGGGTAAAGATAAATGTAATGAAACATGTAATAATATAATAAACATAAAAGGCTAGTGGCATAATTACCTCAAAAACATCTGGGTCATGAAAATGCAGAATAATCCTGGAAGTCTTAATTTATTTGATGTATTCTAGAACTCCTGGAAAAATTCAGGATAAAAAGAAATACATTGTCTCTATATACTGAGAGGGAAAAGATATCTTCAGACGTGGCTATCTACTTAAAAACCTCAAGAGAATAACCCCCAAAACTCAGGTAGAATAGATATTTAATGAGTTACCTATGAGACTATGACTATAAATCTCCACTTCTTACATTGTAACAGTAATAGCAATTAAAAACATAAACATTAAAAAAAAAAGTCACCGGGTGGTGGTGGCGCACGCCTTTAATCCCAGCACTTGGGAGGCAGAGCAGGTGGATTGGTCTACAGAGTAAGTTCCAGGACAGCCAGAGCTACACAGAGAAACCTTGTCTCAAAAAAACAAAAACAAAAAAAAAGTCATACAGCAGCCTTGGGGTCACAACAGCAGTAAAAACCTGCAAACTCTAAAGGAGAAAGACTAGGTTTTAGAATTGTCTTATTCCCAGAAAACTGCTACTGTATGACCTGTCTGGATCTTGGGAAATCTATGTTTATTGTGTTTGTCAAACATCATCATTGCAGCTGCCTGAGCTTGCAATGCATCTGGAGACAGATGATGACAGAACAACAAAGGAAAATCCAGAAAAGGAGACTTGTAGAATGTTTGGGGGACAGAGAACGATACATGAGGAGGGCATGCGCATCTGCAAAGGGCCTACAAAAGGTCTGGTCTTGTTTCTGGGTGTGATGGGTACAGGATAAATTGATCCATACTTAAAGAAAGCTTGATTTACTTGCTAACTAATCACATAAACTAACTGGGCAGGAACTCCAAATACTATGCCTTTCAGGTATTACAGTAAATCCAAGAAAGCAGCACAAAGCCTGTAGAGAGAAAGAACTCTCTTCTTGTTTACAGAATTTTCATACTGCTTTACATATTTAACCCCCAAATCATGAGGCATACAAAAAATAATAAAATGTGGGTCATATGCTAATAGCAGGGCCAAAACCAATCGATAGCAACTGTCTCTAAAGAAGTCCAGATGACCTTAAATCTGCTGCTGCAACATGTTTAAACAAATGAAAGGAGCTACATGTCTCGGGAATAGGAGAATGGTGTCTCACCAAGTAAAGTCATCAGAGAAAGAATACAAGTAGAAGTTCTCAAATTGAATACAAGAACCCAAGGTCCACTAGAGTTCAGCAGATTGGAACAAACAGAGAAAGAATTAGCGTGTGAAGATGGGTCAATAAGGACCATCTTCCTTACTCCAGGTACAAAGGTAATACAGAATAAGGAGAAATGTATGGCCACACAGTGAGTGACCCATAAAGGATGGAGAGGAACACCTAAAAAAAAATGTTCTTAAGAAACACTATAGGCTAATGAGATGGCTCAGCAGATAAAGGCACTTGCCACTAAGCCTGTTAACCTTTGTTCCATACCCAGAATCCATATTATAAGAACTGACTCCTGCAAGTTCTCTGAACTCCACATGTATGCTGGGAAGTGTAATGTGCACACAATAAATAAGTAAATTTATTTATTTTAATAAGTAAAGTTTTTTAAAAAAGTATTTTTGAAAGAAAAACAATATGAGGTTGGTGTGAGGTAGCATGCACCTGTAATTCCAGTACTTGGGGAATAGAGGCAGAAAGGAGTTTGAGGCCAAACTCACATACTTAATTCAGATCAGTCTGGGCTACTTAAGAACTCTGTCTCAAAAGAAGGAAATCTTCTTCCAAAACCAAATTATGATTGGAAAATTTACATATGAAGCTGAAGGAACTATAACTGGGATAACTTTACAAGAGCCATGGCTAGGCACATGTGATCATTGTTTGGATTCTGATTGAGGTAAGGCAAAAGGTGTGGTGCCAATTGTACACTTGTCTGTTTCTCTCATGTGTATTAAAGTTTGGGTGTAAATGGTTATATTAGTTTTATGTCACTGTGACCACATTGCCTGAACTTTTGGTTATAGAATGGTATTTTTTTTTCCACACATTTAATACCAGAACTCATAAGATAGATAAAATGACCCAACTGTCCTCAACAGTGTTTGTTAAAAGTAAGGTCCTGTTAAGTAATATAAAATAATGTTAGAGCACTGTTAATGTTAATGATAGACCTTTATTTTAAGCACCACCTTTAATGTTCATTTTTCATTTGAATAAGCTAAAGTGTTAGAGGGCCAGGCTCATATGAATCCTTGACAGCTGGACCATGAAAGGACAGGATGGTTTCTGTTCACGCACTGTCTAGAGATGGCTGGAGACCCAGCAGGTTGGAGACCCCACAGATTTCCCTGCAAGGGACAGCATACGGCCGAAGACCTCCAATGATCCATGCCCTTCAGGCAAGTAGGACAACTACTTGCCCCTCCACAGGTAAAGGGTGTGACTACAGGCCAAGGAGCCTCGAGAGATCTCCATATTAATGAGATACCTAAAGGCCAGAGGGCCAATTAAGCATTTCTTCCCAGACCCTTCTTGCAAAAGGTATTTAACCTTAGGCCTGCCCTGAGAATACAGAGGTATAGTTTCATCCATTTTCTGCCATGACAGTAAATATCTTAAGACCATAGCCTATCTCTCTTCTTTGGGAGCTGCCGTGGGGAACTGTGGAAAAGATTTTCAACTACTGAGCTGCCACCTAATCTTCTGCTGATGACCTCTCTATGCTTCCATGGAGGCCACCCAAGCAGGCAAGCTGAGCCAGCCATGACCTAGGCAAGCAAATCGCTGCAACCAAGCCAAAGCTCATCCTTACTCCCCTCTTCATATGCCTCCCCACCATCCCCACCCTTCTGTCTTGACCCTTTTGCGGTCTCTCAGAGGTGCCTGAGAGCACAAGGGCCTGAAAACAAAAGGCCACCTTTTGGCCTGGAGACCCCCAACTCATGAGCTCCAGACCCCATGGGACCTCAGACTGTGTTCCCCCAGCCCCGAACAGAGTCCTGCAGCTTCCCACAGCCCAACATCTGCCCTTGCTGGTGTTGGAATTAACACAGTCAAATTCCCGAACCACTACCTCTCTGAGCCACAGCCCTAGCCCCTTGGGAGGGGACAGACAAAGGACCCATAATTCAACCCACAGGACCCATGCACGCTACAGCCTCACACTAGTAGGCCCTTTACTGGATTCTACTTGCCTAGAACAGGAGACTATCAGCCCAGCAGCCAGCCAGGTGTGTATGAACATTCATCAGATGCTCTGAAGAAGCTGTACTGCAACCATACTGCTCTCTGCAGAAGCACAGCTCCAACTCTAGGAGATACTATCCCAGCCATGACTATGGCTTCTGCTGGACCAACTTTATGACCATCACAAGCCT